ATATTCATAGTAATTAAATCAGAAATCTAAAGAGAGCGTTCTTATCAAACACATGTTAGAGAAATCTGGTCACGTGGTGTTATATTCAAGTCTCTGTTCATGAGATGTCTCCACAGTGTCACACGTGTTGTTGAAGATTTGGATAATTTTGGCAATGTTGAGAAGCTTTATTTTGTGTAACCAAATAAGAATTGTGTAAAACATATTACAAAAACCTCGGATAATGCTATTAAGAGGCGAAAGTTTTTTCTCCATTTTAGTGAGTAATTGGGCCAAATACAAAGCTTGTAGAAATCATGTTTTATTGAAAACTAGACAGACTAAAGCTAACTACATAGAGGAAGCTATTTCACAAAATACTCATAGTTTGAAAAATGTATGGAAAAAGATAAAATATTTTTTTACCGCCAGAAAAAAAGGAAATATTAATGTTACTCTGAATATTGATGGTAAAGCTGTCTCAGATAAATTTTAAGTTATCAATATTTTTAACAATTTTTTCAGTAGTATTGGTGCAGAAATAGGCAAAGACTTTGACAACAGTTTACCGACTGTTGAAACTTTCAATACTGAAAATCCCTTTGAAATACCATATATTACTCCTGAGTTTGTAGCCAAGCAACTTGAGCACATGTCTGCTGTCAAAGCCACTGGCTTTGGCGGTATGGCTGTAAAGTTGTTAATGTGTGCCGGTAACGCGATTGTACCACTGTTAACATTTCTGTTCAGTACATGTACTAGATCTGGTAAATTTCCTACCGAATGGAAGAAGACAAAGTTCACTCCCATTTTTAAGCAGGTGATCCTAACTGTGTAAATCACTACAGACCTGTATCTGTGTTCTCAGGCCTTAGTCAAATATCAGAAAGGCATGTTCATGATACTTTTCTATGAATTTTTTATCAAGTAATAACCTTATAACTGATAGCCAGTTCGGTTTCCGACCTCACCACTTAACCGAAACGGCTCTTTTGCATGTCTTAGACAAATGGTTTAAAAATATAGATCAATGTTATCTCATTGGTCTTCTTTTTATCGATCTACGTAAGGCATTTGATACAGTGAATCACAATGAATTTAACACAAACTTGAGTCTTACGGTGTATCCCAATCAGCCTTACACTTTTTTTCCAGTCATATCTATTTGACAGGTCTCAAGCTGTCAGCTATAAGGGTGCACTCTCTGAGTTCCAGCCAATTAATATTGGTGTCCCACAGGGCTCAATTCTTGGGCCTCTGTTCTTTATATTGTACATAAACGATTATCCAAAGTGTTTGAAAATCTTTCTGTTACCATGTACGCAGATGATACGTTGCAATATGTTAAAGTTAAAACAGTTGAGGTACTGGAGCAAAAAGTGTACGAAGACTTAGAATGTACATACAAATGGATGGAGAATAACAAATTAAGTCTCAATCTCAACAAAACCTACTGTATGATGATTGGTTCTGTGCAAAAACTTGCAAAATGTAGAACTCTATGTTTGAACTTTAATGTGAGAAAGTCATTGTTGATTGTGCCAAACTTCTCGGTGTTCTGTTAGACAAAACACTGTCATGGAAAGAACATATTGACAATGTTTGCAAAAAAGTATCTAAAAAAGTAGGAGTTCTTAAAAGTCTACCAGTGTGTTACATATTGTTCCAGTGTTTCGTGTGTTCCAAGCAACTAAATGTTTATTGACAATTTTTTTCAAACTACAAAAGATTTTACTCAACATCAAAGATATTTTAATGTCATCTAGTACTCTTATTAATGCATTGAAATGGATGCCTATTCCTGATTTTTACAATTTCAGGAAAGCTGACTTTTAACATTCTTAATGGACAAACACCACATGTTTTAAACAGTATGTTTTCTTATGTCGGAGATGTTTCCAGATCTGCCAGGGCAGCTACAAATGACAAACTCTATGTTCCTTTAGCCAAGACAAGTATTTTTAAGAGATCTTTTAGCTATAGTTGCTCTGTTTCATGGAACAGCCTAAGTTGAGATATCACAAGGGCTTCCAGTGTTGATGAAGAAATACATTGAAATGTTTTACAACCAGTAGACTATATGAAGCAGTACCTGTTTGTCTGTGATACTTTTCATTGTATATGCATTACATGTACATTGCTCTATGAATTGTTGACTTGTAACTTTTTATTGTCTTGTTAAACTTGTACACACATAGGTCGACACTCGACAGCAGGGCTATATTGTAAACTAGATTTTATCTAAATGTGTCACCCTGTTTAAATAAAATATATTATTATTATTATTATCCATTTTATAATTGTGCAGTATGAAATGTGATAATTTTATAAAATAATATGATGTTTGTAACGTTATGTAAAAAAAACCAACATTGTTTAGTAAGAGTAACTATAGGCTATCACTGTTTAGAGCGACTATAGTCATCCTGTTATATATATATAGTTCAATTGGGTGAGAACATTGTGTATCGTTAAAATATGTAAACATGAAAGGCCAACAAGGCAAATAAACTTGATTATCGCTAACGTTTTCAAGCCGTGTCTCGGCTATCTTCAGGCGAATACTTTAATGTCTTAATAACAACATTATGACGTAATTAAATCAATAATATATAAGGGAGATAATAACGTTATTTATATTTTTAAGGCGTAACGACACTGATTAATTAACATTTAGTGAAGAGTTTGACAAACATGTCCTTTTTGCAAAGTTTCTTTGTTGTATTTGAATCGGGCATCTTATGGAAAGGGTACACCCAGAATAGTCCCTTGCCACAAGTGTCTAAATGTGAACTGAGTGGAATTTTACGAGTTGCGGGTGTGCATATGCAAATACAACATAGGCCTACTATGCAAAGAGGACATGTGTAGTGGTGGTGGTTGTGTGTGTGTAGTGGTGGTTGTGGTGTTGGTGGTGGTGTGTGTGGTGGTGGTGGTGGTGGTGGTGGTGTGTGTTTTATGTGTGTGTGTGTGTGTGTAGAATTGGCTGTTTAGTAGTCATCTTAAGCGCTTTGTTGCGTATTTACTTCAAATCAATTCCTCTAAAGCATGAACTATCCGATCTTATATACACCTTCCAGGTCTACATGTGTATGATATATTTCCTGTACATCAGAGATAAAACTTGTCGTGTTACATTCAGCTCGTCGTCTGTTTACCCGGAAATCTTACTTCATATGCAATGAAACTCGTTTCATTGGTAAATGCTAGATAGTAAAGTGTTGTTTAAGCTTAACTCCTCTACTTTCTTGGCGTTAAAGTAAAATACAATACATGTACGTGACCTATCAGTGTATCACACAGGTACAGCTATTCTCCGAACGGAATTTTAATCCGATTTAGGATTCACTCACTTAAGCAGCAATGCTCTTTGTGTATAATTTATATAAAACATTCGATACATTGGGAGTAAGAAATGTATAATTTGCATTTGAGAATGACAACACGCACAATCTATTGTCATTGTATGGCACTGGTATCGTTGGTTTTACATTACAATGACATACACGATAGAATGAAAAAGAGAGATGTGTTACTTTATTCTGGGTCACATCAAAATAGTTCGTTTGTACATGGACTGTTTATATGTATGGAAATAGTCGGTGAATACATCCATGGGCAGGGCTCTTCATCTTTTTCACATTCAAAATTAAAAACAAATGACCATTAACTCTGCAACTAACTTTGCCATGACAAAATCACTAACTTGACTTGTTTTTTTTTTATCACTTAACGAAATTATGACAGAATGACGACTAAGTGTAACACTACATTCAGAAATAACGGGACATTTACAATTGTAGAATAAAGATGCAATTATCTACTAGAAAACCTAGAGCTCATTGTAGTGTATTTCATACTAAAAAGGGGGGTATTAATAACAATAAAAAAAATCCAAGTCGTTTTTGCTTAAGAAAATGTCTGTTTCTGTTTAGACAAGCAGATTTGCCATACAAATATTTGAAAGACGGATGTTAAAAAAGAAAGGTTATAGGCGATACCATTTTCCGAATTTGCTGTGAAAAAGGGAGTATTATCTCGAGGACATCCAATTAACACATAATATCAATGTCGATTTGAAAAATCCCTCATAAAATTAAGTAATAAATCTGAGAAAAGGTTTATGAGTATGGCGCAGACAATTCTATGAACTTTTAAAACCTTGAAAAGTTTTGTGGGGAGAGAGAGAGAGAGAGAGAGAGAGAGAGAGAGAGAGAGAGAGAGAGAGAGAGAGAGAGGGGGGGGAGAGAGAGAGAGGGGGGGGGGATGGGGGGACCTAAAGCCAAATTATTCTGACGTTTTATCGACTTTCCCATATCGGTCTGGAGTCGATGACCCGATAAAAAATATGTCGATAGAACGTCAGAATAATTCGGAGTAGTATCAGACATGGTTGGATGAACCAGACAAAAGAGCGTCAGTATACTTTTCGGATGTAGTTGATTTTTTTTGTATATAGTAGATTTATCTCCAAACTTGGCAGTAACAAATCGAAGATTTTGTTTTTTCCACGCATTTTTTTTACAATAACTCTAAAACGAAACCTCCATATCTACATCAAGTGAAAATTTCACACACACACATACACACTCACACACATCATTGTTAATTCCGTGCTACCAAACACAAACGTTTTTTGATATGAGATATTCTTTTCATACAGACGTTTGAAAGCATATTTTTATGCCGTTCATGGTAATAGTCTATTTTCTACATGACATCCACAAATTTAAATATCTTTTTTCTTTTTTCCCCATGTTTTTTCTTTTCTATATGCATAATCGTTACATCATTTTCTTTTTCCCAACACCTCCTACCTATCCGTCAATAGCACAATAACGTCGATATAAAATCAGTATAAATAAAATGAACGAATTCAGAATAAATCAACAAATTGTTACAGTTTCTGGCTGTGTCGGTTGAATGCGATCACACAATACGTGAATGATGGGAGACAATCCCTTGTCGATCCGGATATATTTACACGCAGGCCGAGTTAGTTGTTTAGATCAGAAGACAAGATGGCGTTTCTTCGGGAAGCGTTCGGGGCATTTCATGCCTTTTTTTGGGATGAAAAATTTTGGTTACCAGAAAGCGTAACTTGGAAAGATTTTGAAAATTACAGTGACGATTTCTATCATCCTGTTGTGTCGGATTTAAAATACGTGATATTTTGTGGTTGTATGTTGTTTGCCGTACGGAAGCTGTATGAAAGGTGAGTGGCTGGATTTCTCTTTCACCGGTACTGAGTATGAATACATATTGTTCTGCTTCTATTCATAACATGTAAACGGTTTGGAAATATATCTTTCTTTTTGTTAGTTAGTAAAAATGTTTCTTTATTTGTTTTAATCAAATTATAATCTTCATACATAGGCCTACTATCAGAAATGATACAGAGCTGAGCATTGAAAAACGGGCACCGCCTCGTTTTTATGCCCCATCCCTCAAACATGCTTCTGTATGATTCATTCCCCGGTCTAAGAACCAATCGTCACAAAGTGTTTGTTATTTACAATCGCGATCATCTTTTTGACAAAAAAAGGTGGCGTGATCACATTTTTGCGACGAATTATTCAATTAATAAATGAGTTTTATTGAGAATTATATCTTTCGTTCTACAGTGTACATACAGTTCAGCAGAGCAAGTCATAAAGTAGCTACATTACACAGTGCACTGGGTGCAACTCAGCCAAGAGCGATACAATTGTTGAATCACACTTTTCGTATGTTAAATATTTATAAAATGTTCATCAACTGTTTTGTACTAGTTACAAAAATGTATGGCCACAAGCATGCAAGTTCAGTTTTTTTGTTGTTGAATGATGTGTAATTCGCACATCACATTCTCAGTAGTTGCTACCAACTAGTTGGTAAATTTGTTAATATATATATATATTGCGTGTTTTGTAACATTTTCTTGTTTTTTTCATTCAATCAATAGCTGTATGACGTATGTACAGCAGTTTTCTTAGTTTTGTATGCTAAATGCAAGCTAATGCTGTGTCTTTATATATAAAGAATCTAATCATATCTTTACAGCTTCTACCTGCATTACAATTACAGTTTGTAAATTGTTGTTCATAAAATTATGAATCAATATTTATTGTTGCATAATAAGTCTGCCTCAGACTTTGAGGAAAAGGCATTATGTATATTACCAAGTATGTTGGCTCATCTGGACATATGGTGGATATAGACAGTAGAATGAATGTAACCTGACCACTAGTTGATACCTTGATACTATTGATGGAGGTCACACAGTTTGTCATATGACTTGGAGATTAACCTTTAGTAAAATAGTCTTATTTATTCTACAAATCAGATACAGTGTAACACACATATATATTCATATATATATATATATATATATATATATCTATCTATAACGTAGTTAATAGACTCTTATCAGAGGTGAATCAAATATGTGTACTTAGTAAACCTTTACAATTGGTGGCTACTTGAGCTCTAACAGGTCATCTTTTCATCATTGTTATCCAGTAAATTTGGTACTTCATATGGATACCCCACTGGACAAAAAATAACTTTTTTAATCAAATATTATGGAATATGAATAACTTTTATTTTATGGTAATTTTTTCTGTTTTTACAAATTATATCAAGGTACTAGAAAATATGGATCTCAGGTCTCCTCTAGATCCTCTAGAGGTTCTTCAGAACTCCCATGCCTAATAATTAAACCACAAAAAATTTAAATGCTAACAAATGGTGTTGCCCATTTCTATATGCCTGCTTTCCATACACTTTTTAGTTCTGAACTCCATCCGGTTCCCAATTTCCATTACCCTGCTGTATCTTAAAAAGCTGAATGGTTTTTTACATAAAAAAGCAATATCAGACTGAGGAGACCTAGTTGTACAGTTTCATAATTAGATACACACATGTACAGTATTTAGCCAGCTGGTAGATGCTATAGCCTGACCTATATTTTCAGGAGTAAATATCATACATAGCTGTTAGCTCAGGACATATCAGGCCAGTAGAGTTGTGGGTCCTTGAGTAATATGAGATATTATTGGTTACTTAAAATGGAATTTTTGTAATTATTGTAAGAATTTTGATGATGATAACTTCTATATGGGAAAAAATCCTACCATAACCATAAAAAAATTGCCAAAAGATCTGTATGCCTAGCTACATAAATGTACTACAATGACTGTTGTATCATTGAGTACATGACACTGTTATCATTTAAGGTACATAATGTTTATATGTTTGCTAAATTGCTTCATGAACAAGACACTTTACACTAATTGCTCTTGATGGCATGCTATGGGCCTCCAGTATGTTGTTAAGTAAGGTATAAATGTAGCCAACAGCAACTAAATCTTCTTCAAAATGACCTTGGCGGTTCATTGGGTGATAAGTCCAACAAACAAATGCTAAACCATTGTAGATATGGTACCATCTTGAAGGTGTTAGTATATATATACATACTTGGTACATAATAATTATGTCCTTAATTATGAAGTGAACCATATCTTTCATAATTCTGGTAAACCTATTTCCTTACAGTATAATGAGAAAAACAGAAATAAGTATAGCATATCCAAGTGATAATTAGGCCAATCATAGACATGGCTTCTTTATGGATATGGCTAGTTATGATGCCTTCTAAAACTTTATTGCTCTTTAATGTTAATGGCATACCCTGAACTGACCAGTAATTATTTGCTCTCTATCATGGTGATTAGTGTGTTAGTGATTTGAGCTGAAATACTTTGAGTTCTGTATAACCAAGCCATTTCACTGGGTAAATGATATTGATTTCTCTTGTAACATGATGACTTTTTTTACTTTATTGTTACAGGTGTCTGTTCTGGCCAATAGAAAATGTGGGATTACAGGGGAAAATAATCATATACCTTAATGAATGCTTAGAATTAGATTTTACAACAATTTCTAGAAATTTTTGAGTTATATACATTTATATCGCAGATATTTTTACAGTTAAGAGATCACAGTACATTCAATGTTGATCACCCAACTATTTTATGTTATATGTCAACTTTGTGATTCATTTAACGAATGTCAACAAATCATTATTAGATTATAAGACTCACAAAAAAAGGAATATTTATGAAAATAAAAGCAACATATTTTCAAGTGTTTATTACCTATTTCTATTTATCTTAATTTAGGAAACTAAATCCAGACACGCCTTCACTTACAATCCTGTGGTTTTGAATGAGTGCATACAGGTACTTTAACAACAGCTGAGCCTTAGAGGCCAGAGTTAAATACTGTATGTATATGGTACATAGATTCGTCACTGTGTGTTCAACAGACCTTTTTTCATTTAAACAATACTTAACAAACACTTTTCAATAACATCCGGTTGAGACTGGATTGACACATAATCCATTTCAGGGACCTAAGATTACTAAACGTGTAAGTAGACTGTCTTTGTGTAATATTGAGATAGCTGACAACACAGACTGTGTCTCTTCTTCCATGAAAGGATTGATCCCACACTCTAAATGTAATCTAACAATTCAGTAGGATTAATGTTATTTGTGTGTGTAGGAGGATTGGGTTGAGATCCTCACCTGTATTTGTAAAGGATACACAACACCTCCAGAAAAGTTTTGTGATATTAACCATTTTGCCTGTAGTGCAACCAACCTGAGAACAAAGGAAAATGGGTTTAGATTTTGTGGTAACTGTTTGACAGAATTTACAATGTGGTGAAACTGAATTGTGAAATCAATGGTTCACATCCTGAAGCAACAAGTACTGCTGCAGAAAAATTGTTACTAAACTGATTTTTCTGATCCAGCAAGTGCTTGGTCCTTCCTTTTCTGAAGAAGTATCATGTGGAGAGGTTGTGACGTGGGATATCAGAAACATTTTTTTTCCTTATTTGGTGAACTGAGACTTAAACAACATTACGTGTCAGATATTTTCTTTTTCTTTTGGAATTATGATTTACAAAGTATTACTTTTGAAAGTTAGGCTTGCCTAATAAGAACCAGATATTTTTCTTCCCCTGAATATAAAGCTCTTGAACACTCATGTAGCTGAATTTTTATTTTGAGGGTTTTCTAGGTCCTGTCAGCAAAGACAAATAATTCACAGTGGTAGACAACTAGGTTACACATTATTTTCCTTGATTAATTCAACCTTGTATTTTTCCATTCTTAGTGTAATGATGTCAATCTACTGTTGAATAAAGGTTATTTTCAAATTGGTCATTTGGAATTGTTTGTATAGAGGATCTGATCAGAAGGACATACATCTAAATGTTCCATTTAAGCATACTCCTGGACAGATACACGTTGGTTAAAGGGACTCCTTAGGTTTTTGCTTTGAAACATTTCATTTCTATGCCTTACTATATCGCAGTAGATTGTCAATTTTACCTTTTCATACTAAACATTTTCTGAAATGGGAGATTTTTTCAACTTTTTACACATCTTTAAAACATCAATATTTTACCAATAATTTTCAAAAACTCCATTGATATAATTGAAATAATAGATTAAAATAAATTATTTTGTTGAAATATTCTTCAAAACAGGAGTTGTTCTTGGATTTTCTGGAGATAAAATTTATTTATGATAGTGCCTTTTAGGAAGAATACAACAAAACTGGTCAACATCTTAGTAAGAGTGTACATTTGTATATGTCATTGTAGTCAGGCTGTGAGAGCTAGATATGTCTCTAAGGTAATAGGAAATTCAAACACACCTGGGTATACATAAGACTGTTATAATTATGTAAATGACCTTCAAATTGAAATTGGTGTTTAAATATTTATATGTGTAAACCAAACCCCCAGTAGAAATTTGATGTCATACATGGTATGTAGCAGTTGTAATTATATATATATATATACATATTGGAAAGTTTATCAGAGGATCTGTATAATGCAGCATAATACATTTGGTTAGTTATATTAGTTAAAACATTATTGGAGTAATATCACTACTATTGTTATTTTAAATCTGATTGCTGTAGTTGGTTGACAGGATTTTATGTCTATAGATGCTGAAGGGTGACATTTATCACCGCCCAGTACTTTGTTCTTAGTCTCTGGAACAAACTGGTGAATAGCATAACACAAGGGATCCCAAGGGATCTGTCAAGACAGTCATTATCAGTTGAATGCTGTCGTTTTAACCTACGGCTGTACATTTAATTTGTAGTCTAAATACTGATGATCAATAAAGGAAAATAAAATGTATTGTTTACTTGTAACTTAATTGAAAACTGGTTAGGATTTAATCTTTGATTAAAACCCTGATTTCTTTGCATGTGTTTGTAATATTACACCTGACCTTATATATTGAGACTGATGTTTGTATTGTGTGATATGATTAAGATAATAGGATTTACTCTAATGATGTGTTCGCTGTTCATGTAAACATAGTCAATAGTACAGGAAATGTGTATGTATCCTTATATCACTCATCCAATATGAATATTGGGATTGATTAT